TTTCCCCCCCCCCCCCCCCCCCCCCCCGGGTCAAAATCTATTCTCAAAAAATCTACATCAATCAGGCTTTACCTTTTTTACTTATAAGACATAGTCTAAGATTACTTTCTAGAGAGTAGAAAAGTAACTCTAGAGCAGTCTCTTTTCACATATTATTTTTCATTATCTTTGGTATTGTGCTATGTACATACAATAATATTGATTTCGCTTCCTTGGAAGATATCCACTGAAAGCTGTCAAGGTCATGCACACGGTGTCTATGCGGACCGAAGCAACAATGGTTGGTTCACAGACTCCACCAAACCTTGGTCAAGCCTTCAAGGTCAGGGCAGTGTTATATATGTAGTTTTTGAGTCAGTTATGCAAGTACATGCAGATGAACATGAATGTACACCTAATAGACTGAAATTTTAATGACAATTTTCATTTTGTGCAGAACCATATGAGTGACATGTTTGCATACCATGCAACCATGATGTCTAACACACTTGGAACTTCAACTGTTGTCTTCACCCGAACTGGTTTCATGGCCATTCTACTGAGCCATTATCGGCCTTCTGGCACAATTTTTGCTTTTACAAATGAGTGAGCCTCTTGATCTACACTGTATACTAAGCTTATTTTTATTGCTTTTAAGACTCTGGTTTTCGATTTTAAAGTGCTTTTGGTGGCTTAGTCGTGTTATTACTTGTAAGATCTCCATTATATGTATAATCTGATATTCACTCATTAGCTACTTCTGAAAACTTTATATAACATGATTAATTTGAAAAAGTATCTGATTAATTTGAAAAAGTATCCTGGGAAATGGTTATTTATAATTTTAATGAAATTGATTGTATGCTTAATTGTGTTACAGGAAGAGAATACAGCAGAGACTGGCTTTGTACCAGGGTGTTTGTCCCATATACTTGGAGTTTTCAGATGATGCTGAGGAGACCTTTTCAAAGGCGTTATCTTTGTTGCAGGTGAGGTTCCACTTTTACTCAATTTAGGATTATCATTTAGTATTGCACAGGGGTAATTTAGACATATCAATGAAATTAGAACAAGAGATTGATAGTAGATACTTGGTTAGCTACATGATTGATTGCAACTAATCTTTCTAGTACTGAGTATGCAAATGATTGTTCTTGGTGCCGTGTAAACTGCTGAGTTATTTAGCCTTGAGTTATGAAATTCACTCTCTTGAATGCACTAAACAACTGGAGCAACAAAATGTAACCTGTTTTGGCAAATTCGATCCTAATATATTATACACACATCAACTTAAATGACTGCCTGATCCGTGTGCTTTTATCTTTAGAGTAATATTATTCGTAGTCAACCAAAATATAGTAGTCACTCTACGTGGCATCTTACTTGAGATTGTTTTATTATTAATATGGAAATCTATTTGATTATTTTCTTTTCTTAATCATTAAAACCATGACACATAAGATGCCACGTAGTGCGATTACTGTAGTTACTCACTATGAATACCATTATTCTTATCATCATATTCTTGGATTTGTGTTTAGCACTCGTGCATTAGGATTTAAAATGTACTGTATTTTTTTCTCACAAATGTAGTATTGTGAATCTATTAGAAAAATGGGATGGTGAAAGAAGGCGAGCATGTTGCTCTTGTTCAAAGTGGCAGACAGCCTATCTGGCGGTCCCAGTCGACTCATAACATTCAGGTCAGAAAAGTATACGACAAAGAGCCTATCTGGAGGTCCTAGTTGACTCATGACAATCAGGTCAGAAAAGTATAGACTGGCAAAGGAGGTTTGAGACCTAATCGGAATTTATTTTTGAACCCTTGGGTTCTTAAGTTATCGACTCAGCATCTGTCCCCTTTTTTATTTTATTTTATTTTTTATTTTTCTGTAATTCATTCCAGCAAATGTACGTTATAAGATTTTAGTTCTTGACTCTATACCCTATTTGACAAACGCCCTCTGCACTTCTATTATTATGTGGTAACAATATTAGCATTTGCTTTTTGATTGGTTAATAGGTGTTAAAAGGGTATTTTTTTTCCCTCATTCAACACGGAGGTAACAAAACTTAGGCCCCGTTTGGTATCAATTTCTTCAAAATGTATTTTTCTCTCTTCTTTTCAACCATACATTCTTTATTAAAATAATATTACTCATAAATAAAAAACTTGTTCTTATTTTTCAATCACACATTTTTCATCAATTAATTATTTTAAAATACATTTTTATATAAAAATGGCTCTCAAACACCCTCTTACTATTCGGTCTTTTATTTGTTATAACCGACGATGGATAAATATTTAACACCTTTAGCTTTCTTAATCATGTCCTGTACAGTATACCAGCACTCCAACTTACGCTGATCTGTGTATATGGGGTGTTTTAGGAATTGAAAGATATCCTCTGGGTCAATGCCTAAATTCCAATTGAATCATTAATTTGAATTGTGCTTTTACATTTAGAGAGTCATCTCTTCTAAAATTTTCTCCTGAATGGTATAAATCTCCCTGTTCTACGGTCTCAATCTCATGGAATACCTGATTGGTACATCACCCTGTCATTTTCAGAGTTCAAACTATAACAATTGGTGAGTCAAGATTCTAAAACTTTTAATATCCCTTTTGCAGACGTCAAGATCAATTAATTTTTCGTGCCATTCTTGCCTCTAACTGAACCAATCGTCACTTTCATCCCCTTGGCCTTCAATTCCCATGAGGCTTGGACCGGTCCCATATATTTGCCCGACGTTTCCAACCGCACATCATTCACCTCAGAGACACAGTGTCTCAATTAATACAACGTAACCACTTAACAAAAATTTCCTTACCTGCCCAATTTCCATTGAATAAAGATAACTGTTTGTTCTAGTATAAATAGTCATTATGTGTTCTTCTTCCGTTAGGGAGCTGATTGAGATTGTTTAAGCAATTCACATAATCACTTACCTCTTGCCAATTGATTCTGAATAGCTTTATTGAGATCCGAAGAAAATTGTGCAAATGTTTCTAATTCTACGAATTGAGCCAATTCCAATTTTAATTTACTAGCTACTTGTAGTTTGAAGGAACCCTGCCTATTGCTGATTTTCTACTCCAAGTCAAACCATTTTCGATGAGCTATCCACTCTACATGCCACACCTAGAGATTTTGATCTCTTGGTATACAACACTCGAGGTCTTGGTTTGACTTACAAAGAAGTTGTGGCAACTTTGAGAATCCATGTTCACTCTAAAGTAAAATGTTTTATTGTTCACCTAACTTAAATATGATCATAATTTACTTTTCAAACTTCAAACTGTTTGCCAATGGTTACTCATCTTTGAGACATTGCATACATACATCATCCGTCTAATTTCGTTTCCCTCATTATTGATGTGTTGTATGAAAATCTCACGTGATAAGTAACGATCGTTATAAAAATTACAACTCAATCAAATCATTCAAGTAAAATATTTTATTGCTTACGCAATTTATACTATGATCACAGTTTACTTACCAAACTTTAAACTATTTCCCAATGATCACTCATCTTTAATTCCACTCCATTCATCATCAACCAGATTTCATTTCCTTCATCATCAACCAGACTTCGTTTCCTTGCGAGAGTCGAGACAACGTTATGCACTTTATTGTAGGTGTTTAGGGTTATTTAGTATATTTGATCTTGTTTGGCTAAGAAATGAAACAATAAAATGGGTAATTGGGTCAAAAATTAAAAAATTAGAAATGAAACAAATTATTAGGCCAAAAATTTGGATTTAGAAATTATTAATTTGTTAATTTGTTTAGAAAAAATTAAAATTAAAATAATTTGATTTACTCAATATAAAAAAAATTAGAAAGATTCGGTTCTTATTCGGTTCTTCGGTTCTTGGTCTAGAACCGAGAACCCAACCGTACCCGTCGGTTCTCAATTCAGATACCCGTTCGGGTATTTAATTTGACAAGAACCGTCGGGTTCGGATCGGTTCGGTTTGGGTTCGGTTCGGTCGGTTCGGTTCGGGAGATTTGCCCAGCCCTAATGTGTTGTATGAAAATCTCACGTGATAAGTAACGATCGTTATAAAAATTACAACTCAGTCAAATCATTCAAGTAAAATATTTTATTGCTTACGCAATTTATACTATGATCACAGTTTACTTACCAAACTTTAAACTATTTCCCAATGATCACTCATCTTTAATTCCACTCCATTCATCATCAACCAGATTTCATTTCCTTCATCATCAACCAGACTTCGTTTCCTTCGTTATTTCCTTCGTTATTGATGTGTTGTACGAAAATTTCACATGGCAAGTTATGACTGTTAAAAAAATTACAATTCAACCAAAACCTACCAGCTCATTGAAATCGCCATATGTAAAACACGACTTTAAAATAATTTTTACCCTAATTGTTAGTCTCCAATTCAACCCCAAAAATCGCAACCCCTAATTCACCCGTCTCACCAACATATAGCTAAATTGTTTGATGAGATGGGCTATTGTTGAGAAAGATGCGGGAACCTACTATTTATAAAGTTCTATTCTCCAATTGTACCATCTATCAAGCATCTCTCTAATCCCAATCTTCTATTTTATAGGCGTGTGACCGACCATTTGAGGAATGAAATGTTTGGGTGGTGCATTTGATGGTTAGAAAAAAGTCAGTATTTGTTGAATAAAAAGTAGCATAAGTTGAATTGAAATTTCAAAAGAAAAGATGGTAGGTGTAATTTTCACAACAAATAATCAATTAAGAAAAAAATGGTTACGTAATCTAGCAAAACTTAATAGCAAAAGAGGCCAAATAAATACCCCCATAATACAATAAAGAAAAAGAGCAATAGAACAAACTACAAGCAACAGTCCACAAGTAACTTGGACAACATTAAAATTTACATATGATGATACGAATATCTACAGGAGACAGAAACTAAAATTAAAACAGAAAAATATTTGAAAGGGATGTAGACAGCCTAAAACCAACTCAACCCAGACCAGCTTCATAACTTAACCCACGATTTCAGTTGAAAAGCACATCCATTCCTGTGACACAATAATGAAACGATAATTTCTTATCCGTCATGACAAGATATCGATATGAACAAGATGCAGAAAACCCGACTCAAACCAACTATGATGAAACGAACAGAACAGGAGCTTTGCTTACACACAACTATGAGGCAGGGCATAATATTTTCCTGTCTTGAATTGGATTCCGGCTTCTTCATTCTTTTTACTTGTTGAAAAGAATGTGATTCATTTGAGATTTCCCATTAAGGGTCCTCCGTGCATCCTGCCTTCTGGAAGATCAGAATTATTCGAGCAAAGATTTCCAACCTGCGGTCGGATTGGCAAAGAAATCGATTGGTATCCATAGCCAATTGAAGGAGTCCCATGTTCTATAGTTTCACTGCAATCAAAAAGATTGTGTTCAGATGCAGAAGTCCATTTCATCTGTGCAAATGTACAAGAATGTGGCTAGAAACCGTTATATCATTCTCGTGGATCTGTTTATTTTCTATTTGAGCACTGTGTTTATTGCACAGACTAGATTTCCTGGTAGCGAACTTGTCACATAAACTGGCACCTTTACTGCCAAATTCTGAACCTAAATGTCCCCAAGTGCATCGTTTTCCTCCACCGTGTGCTTAGCAAAAATCAGTTCTACATTGTGCACTCTTTGTACATCCTTCGAGCTTGCACCTTTTTCCACCACCATGACGAACACAAAAGTTGGTGCACCCTCTTGCACTCTTGGTACACTCAAGTTCAGTGCATCTCTTGCTGCCACCATAACTAACACAAAATAAAGTTCCCACATGGTCGATCTTTGTGCACCTTTTAAATTGAAATCTTTTGCCCCCGCCATGACCTTTACAGAATGGAGTTCTCCTGTCTGCACTTTTTGTGCACCCCAAAAATGTGCACCTTCTGCCACCACCGTGAACTTTACAGAACATTTTACTCCCTTGAGCACCCTTTGAGCACCGAGGATCTTGGCAGCGACTGCGGCCTCCTTGGGATATGCAGAGAACAGATATACCCTCAGCACTCTTCATGCAATTTTCAATCTTGCACCTTTTGCCGCCTCCATGACGAATACAGAATCCTGTCTTACCTCTTGCTGCATGAGGGCAACCCTCGTGAGTACAACGCCTACCACCTCCATGCCTTAAACAGTAATCAGTACGGCCTTTCGCACTTTTAGTGCATCCAAGACACTGGCACCGGCGACCACCTTCATGTGCCTTGCATTCGGATCCCTTCTGACAGCCAGCTCTCTTACACCTCCTCCCACCTCAATGGGCAATACAGAGACCAACAGCATCTCTTGCTCCCTTTATGCATTTTTCAAACTGGCAGATTTTCATGCTGGTTCTCCTTTTCTGTTGTTGATTAAACAATCCAAAAGTACCGGCAACTGACCTAGCTGTCATTGCTGCACGGAATGGAAGTTTAGGGGTCACTTGAATAGGATTGCCAGAGCAATGGATATGGTCAACAGGAACAAAATTAGCAATATTTGGCAATGTAGAAACATAAAACCCAGTTTTCCACTGAGATGGCATTGACTCTTCATCAACAACTTGAGGCGAAATGACAAAGGCTGGTGACTCAGAAATCTTCCCATAAGGACTGAACCCTTGAACAGCAGTGAAAATAGATTCAGCAGGTCCAGTAGACAGACTTAATTCGAGATCTAATTTAGGCCTCCTTACTTCAAGTGCATTTGAAGTCCCAGAAGATGCCATCTTTTGATTGGATATTCTGTGACCTCCTCGTTTGAAGTTGATATTGAGATCAGGATCGATTGAAGACTCCTCTTCCATTACTTTCCCAGAGCATATGCTAATGTAAGAACTTGATAAATGGCCCAAGCAAAGAACCAGAGCAGATTCATCCATAAAGCTCCATTTTCTCTTTCTTCCCTTGGAAAATGAAGAGCTTGGCACACCAGGTGAATAAAGATCTGGGGCTCCAACGACGGCATAATCAACAAATTTGCCCAGACCTTTTGACATAGTGGCCATAGTAGTAGCAAAGCCAGGGCTCATCCATGTACCACAAACTCACACCTTGACCCCAAACCCAGTAACAGCGAAGAAAAGAAAAGAAAAGAACAACTTTGCAGGTTGCAGAACTTCTAAAGATTAAGACAAGAAACTAATAAAGAATGACGAAATCAGAACTTCAAAAGATGGGGCGAAAGCCACCACTAACAACCAATGCATTCTGGCAATCCATTCGAAGAGCTAAGGTTGTGATCTGAGCACATCACCAGCTACAGGACATCAATTGATGAATATTTACATCTGTTGCCGATCAATTTTTCAACTAGACATCCTGTTCAAAGCAATTGAAAATTCATTATGCGGCGACACCTTGCCAAATGAAATAACCATATTTAAATCCAAATAGGGAATCCTGCCAGCAGATTAGAGTGCTCGACATCTAGCAACACAGCTATATATGCATTGAATAGAACAATTATTGATATGACCTTCACAATTACAGCATGGTGAACAAACCATACATGCACGTGCATAATAAAAACTTAAAAAATGAGGAAATTTACAAAGAACAATGAGGTTTTAATTCGAATGAATGCATATTTATGTTTTCAATAACTCACTTTCTAATTGAAATTGCACGCGTAGTGGCATCACAAGAAAAAAATTAATCTCATCCCAAAAACATTTTCACAGGAGATGAATTAAAAACAATCCTCCTGCCTCTCATAACTCTGCTTAGGAATCTTTATTATGACTTAAGCAAAGCCATTATACAGTATCGAAGAACAAGTGATTGCATCATCTTCCATCGTAGCACTGCATTTAATAATTTAGTCTCGCAAAAAATATAAGGATGCTTAATCCTTCAAATTACTGTTTGCATATATATGCAAATGAAGTAAACATGGAATCCTTTCCTCTACCTGAATTTACACCACAATCAATTGTTCAAATTCCATAGATCGGCAATTAAGTGATATATGACGTGTCATCCATGTGTCTGAGCATTCAAGGAAAGAGAGAGAAAGTAAGAGGGTGCTAACGTTGTAGATCCTCAATATTTTAAATCGCTGATGCTATCTGCCCAAATAAGACAATGGATACCGCATAATTTCAGACAATGACATTAACTGTGAGTTATGACTCGTTATTAAAACCATGGGCCGAAAGCTTCTCGACAATCTAGAGTTCGAATTTAGGTGAGAAGACATCACCAAGAAGGCAAAACACTCATTAAGCTATATTGTAGAAAACCAAATGTCTAGAAATTCTTGGTAAGAAAAAACTTCATCAAAGATATGTGCATTAAACCATGTTCTATACTCTACCGCCAAAGTACCTCATTTCTTCACTCCACCACAGCACCACTAGAGTGCCTCATCAAACACACTGATTGCTTTCTTCACAAGGTAGACTATACAGTACTATACAATACTACCAAAAAAAAAAAAAAAAAAAAAAAAAA